CTTTAACTCGTAATCAGTAAACTTTTTACTCAAGTAATAAATAGCCTATTTTTGCTTTCTTGTTTCATCATATTACCGTAAAACACATCTCATTGACTTTTCATGCACTGTCAAATACAGGATAAAAAATCTTTCAAAGACATGCAGCATTAATACTGGTGGGTTTGATAAGTATTCTTTAACTTTTTCAAACGTCATTTGACAATCTTTATCTCATTCTTCTGACTCGTGTTTTCGAAAAATCGTAAATATGAGATTACATTTGGCTATAAGTTGGAAAATGAAACGAGCAATATAATTCAATCTCCCTAAAAATCTCTTTACTTCTTTTTGAGTGCGTGGAGGTGGTAGCTATTGGATGGCATGTATCTTATCTGGATCTACCTCTATTCCTTTCTTACTGACAATGAATCTCAATAATTTTCTTGAGGTTGCACCGAAAGTGCATTTAGCTAGATTAAGCTTGAGCTGAAACTTTTTTAATATTTCAAATAGCTTTTTGAGATTAGTTACATGATTTTCTTTTTCACGAGATTTGGCAATCATGTTATCCACATACACTTCTATTTTTTTATGTATCATATCATGGAATAAAGTTACCATGGCTCTTTGATAAGTTGTCCTAACATTTTTCAAACCAAAAGGCATTACTTTGTAGCAAAATGTTCTTCATAATGTCACAAAAGTAGTCTTTTCCATAACTTTTTGTGCCATTTTAATTTGATTGTAGTCTAAAAATCCATCCATGAATGAAAACAGAGAATGCCTAGCGGTATTATCCACTGGAGTGTCAATGTGGGGCAATGAAAAATTATCTTTTAGACTTGCTTTATTCAGATTTCGGTAATTAATACACATTCTCACTTTGCCATCTTTCTTGGGTACTGGGACTATATTTGTCACCCATTCGAGATATTTGGCCATTTCTAAGAATCTCGCATCAAATTGCTTTTTCACTTCTCCCTTTATTTTCAACAATATTTCAAGTTTCATTCTTTTCAACTTCTGTTTAATTGGTTTGCACTCAGGTTTCAGAGGTAACTTATGCATTACAATTTTAGTATCCAGCCCTTACATATCTTGATATGATCAAGCAAATACATCTACATATTCATGAAGTAACTTTATCAACTCTTGCTTTATTGGTGATGACATAGAAGTACTAATCTTAACTTTCTTTTTAGTTTCTTCATCCCCCCAAGTTAACAACTTCGTGGCTTTTTGATGAGGCATGATTTACTTCTTTTTTTGTTCCACTAATCTCAATAATTTTAAAGATATGGCATGGTCTTCCATATTCTCTTCATCATCGAGTTCACCAATATAAACAGAATTTTCAAAATTAAATTCTAGAATATTGTCATAATGATCTTTATATTCATTATTCAGATACCTGAAAATAAGTGAAATGGATGAAATGTAGAAGGATGTATAGTAATGCAAGGAAATGAAATGAAAGAGGCAAAAAAAATGGACAAATATGCTGCATTTGTCATTTATTCAATTGGAAATAAGGAAACAAACACACATAAGATATTTAATGCTTTTAACAAAAGCATTTAGATTATGTTCAACACATTACTTTGGAGAAAATTTAAAAACAACAAGTAGCTCATCAACATGCCAATTTTTCAGTTCTGCACCAAGAGGAGTGAGATAAACCCATGGATAGCCTGAATCTTTATTTTCCTTTTCTTCACCCATCATTTGTATCAAAAATTTAGCGAAGATATTTTTCAAGAATGGTGTAAACTTTTTTCCTACATTGCCTGTCACATCTGGATAGATATAACCAACTAAAATGAAAGTCTCGTAAAAAGGAAAAAAAGATAAGCTTTCAGTTTCTACTTCTTGTCCCAAAAAATGAGCCAACCTTTTTTCTTTTTTTTCCTCTATGAACTTTATTCTTCCTTTTCGAGTTGGCTTGTACCCTAGCCTAAACCTATCATCTTTCTTAGGCATCATCCATGGTCGTTGTATCCCTTGTAAGTCAACCTACATTTTATGTCCTTTTCCTACCACTTCTTTAAGTGCCATTTTAGAAGCTTTGGATAGATATGAAACAGGCACTTTTGATCTTTCACTCACATAGGTTGCATTAACGAATTCAAAAGATCTGAAAGAACATTCTGGAGCTTTTTCAGCTGCTTTAACATATAATACAGTAGAGGGTTTAGTCATTAATAGATCTTCTTCACCAACAACAATGACCATATTTTTATTAATTATGAATTTTACTTTTTGATGTAAAGTGGAAAGAATAGCTCCTGCCATATGAATCCATGGTCGTCCTAAAAGACAGCTATAGGAAGGAGCGATATCCATGACTTGAAAAACTATATCAAAAGTACATGGTCCAATTTGGATTGGTAGCTCGATATCACCTATCACTTCACGACGAGTCCCATCAAAAGCTCTCACTATCATATGACTCATCTTCATCTAAGACATGTCAATTGATAATCTAGATAGCGTAGTCATAGGCATGACATTCAAAAAAGATCCATTATCAATGAGCATCTTTACCAATGTATGATCCTTGTATTTTGTGGAGATATGTAAGGCTTTAATATCACCTCTACCACCAGATGAAATTTCATCATCACTAAATGATATATAATTTTTCACTATGCGATCAAGTTTCTTCATAGATATATTATGCGCTACATAAGCCTTGTTGAGTACTTTGAGCAAAGCATTTCTATAAGGCTCAGAATTTAATAATAGCGAGAGTATAAAAATCTGAGTTGGTAAACGATTTAGTTGCTTTACCACACTATATTCATTGTGCTTAATAAGCTTCAAAAACTCACAAGCCTCTTTTTTTGTAATTGAATATTTACATTCTCGATCTAAGATTGGGGTTGGGTGAGTCTCTTGATCTTTGGGCTATTTATCTTCTTTTTCTAAACTTATTTCCCTTTATTGTACTTTTTTTTTCGTGCTCTCTCAAGTGCTTTAGGAGTATAGCACCGCTCACTTCGAGTTACGCTTGCTACGCCAGTTATGTTTGCTGTGCTTGTATCACATGAGCCATATTGAATAGATCTACTATCCAAATCTTGTGATGATATTACAATCATATTTTTAAGGGACTGCCTTATTCGATTTGTACGGGAATGGGTTAAGGACCTCAATTGTCACTTTTGGCATAGTTGTACAAACTGGTTCACCAATTTGTGCACTCAATTTGTCATCATAAAAGATTGTGACAGGCTCAAAACTGACTTATTAACTTTAATATTCGGTTTGTCTTCATAGAAGATGGTAACAGGCTCAAAATTCATTCGGTAAGGCCTACTTTTGGATGAGTCTCTTGTCACAACATCCACTAAACTTTCTTCATGTTCTTCATAAAATTCAACTAAGAAAGAATTCATCATTCTCTACAAATCTTGTTGAAATGCTTTACAGTCTTGAAGTGAATGACCAACCATCCTTATATAAAATTCATAAGTGTGATCTGAATTATATATGAAATTTCCTTTATTTGAATTTTCAGGTATTGGATGAATCATATTTGCTTTCACAAGAGCAGTAAATATTTCATTCATAACGGTTCTGATCTCGCTTACTTCTCTTCTAATATTCTGGGTTGTCTCACTATTTAAAGCATTTCTTGATCCTCTACCATGATTAGGTAACGGATTGGCCTTCACACTTGGTCCAACCTTGGTTGTGAAATTTAAAATTTTATTATCAATCAGGCTTTGGACCCTTCATTTGAAAGCTATACAATTTTTCAGAGAATGGCCTTGAATTTCATAATGATAGTCACAGGAAGTTTCAGGATCATACCACTTTGGATATGGAGGTTTCAAAGGCTCTATGGGTTGTCGAGCCACCAAGTGTTTCTGGAACAACAGAGGAAACAATTTCATGTATGTCATAAAAATTGGATCAAAACATTGTTGCTCTCGATTATTTTGAGATTCCCTTTGATTAAAGTTCATGGTATTTGACAAAGAGAAGGTCGTGGTAAAGGTACTCGAAGATGAACATTGGGCTTGAAAAGTAGGTGTCTGGGTTTACACTGGTTGAAAATGGTATGGGTTTTGGAAAATGTTAGAAATGGTTGGGTAAGAAGGTTGGTATATAGGATATGGGATAAAAGGTCTCAATTTGGGTTTTTCAGTGGTGACAACTTGCACTTCTGGTTTTTTCCTTTTGGATGGTCTTCCTTTTTTTGATCCAAAAACATCACCTCCATCAATCTTTCCATTTTTAATGGCATATTTTATTATCTCTCCCATAATCACCATATCAATAAAATTTTTTATGGCATGACCGATAAGCCTATCATAGTACGATGCTTGAAGGGTATTGATGAATAAAATGATTGTTTCTTTCTCAATAAGAGAAGGTTGAACCTGAGCAGCAACATATCGCCATCTTTGGGCATATTCTTTAAAATTTTCATTAGCTTTCTTTTTTATGTTTTGCAATGACAAATCTATCTGGAGCCATGTCTGTGACATGCTTATATTGAGTAATAAATTCTTTTGCTAGATATTTTCATAACTGAATACAACTCCTGTCTAATTGAATATATCATTTGACAGCTGATCCAGTAAGACTATTCTGAAAACAATGGATAAGTAACCCGTCATTGTTTGTATGCCCAATCATTTTTTGACAGAACATAGTGATATGTGTTTGAGGGCATTTGGTTCCATCATATGTTTCAAATTTTAGTACTTTGAACTTTGGTGGGATTACCAAATCTGGAACCAGAATGAGTTCACTAGCATCAATTGTGCCAAAAATATTTATACCTTCAACAGCTCGTAGCCTTTCTTCTAAGAGATCTAACTTCTGTTGTGCCTTTATATTCTCAGATTGCTCAAATGTGCCTTTCTTTAGGTTTTCTTGTTCTTTTGGGTCATCTAAATCTAGGACCATAATGGTCTCAACATGACTTGCTCCAATATTTAAACCACCATGTCCTTGACCACATGGTTGAACTGTGAAAGGAGGTAAATTAAACTGAGCATGTGGCTGTCTTTTAGGTTGTGTCATTTGTGGATACATTTGATAAGAGGTTTGAGCATAGGGTGGAGTAAACCCTAGTGGATACAATGGATCTTCCCTATCATTGGTATTTTCTTGGGCTTGAGGATCTTTCTCAGTAGTTACTTCTTCAGCAACCCATTTTTCCTTGGTCATTTTCTTCATCATGTCCATCATTGCAACCATTTCTTTTTGAGTTTCTTCTTGAGTCTTAGTCATTTGTTCTATCAACTCTTGTTGAGACCTAATAATTTGCTCATGTATATCAAATTGAGCTTTTTCTTATCAAATTGAGTTTCTTCTTGAGTCTTAGTCATTTGTTCTATCAACCCAGGACTCGTTTTTTGGCAACAAAAACTGCAGAAAAGAAAAATATGGAGAAATTGAGCCCATGCATTCTGTTGTTAGCTTGTGTGGTGGCTTCTGCTGCTGCTCAAAGTGCTTCCAATGTGAGAGCTACTTACCATCTTTACAATCCTGAACAGAATAACTGGGACTTGACTGCGGTAAGTGCTTTCTGCGCTACATGGGATGCCAATAGGCCTTTGGAATGGCGCCGGAGATATGGATGGACCGCCTTCTGTGGTCCAGTTGGTCCTCAAGGGCAAGCTGCTTGTGGCAGGTGCTCAAGGGTAAGCAATTGCTTGAAGATTAATTATTTTTTATTTATTAGAAACGAAATATTCAAAGAAAATTGGAGAATTCACTTCAAGGCAGTGACCACGCAAGGTCATTATACTTTCCTATGATAAAATTAATTTTGTGTTTCTTGTTTGTGTAGGTGACCAACACTGAGACTGGAACTTCGGCAACAGTGAGAATCGTCCATCAATGCAGCAACGGAGGTCTAGATTTGGACATCAATGTGTTTAGACAACTCGACACTAATGGGAATGGCTATGCACGAGGGCATCTTATTGTGAACTATGCCTTTGTGGATTGTGGTGACTAAACCACTTGCCCTATTCCCATTCATTTTTAAGCTGTTACAGAAGATCAGTTTCCACTGGCTCACGAATAAATGATCTGTAAGAAAATCACCCCTCAATAAATTGATACTGGAATAATCAGAGTATGTACGTAGGTTACTTGCGGCGTGTAAGCTCACTACCAAGTAAGCATCAGCTTCCTTCTGGTCTACGTATACGTTTCTTATTATCCTATGTTTTGAATCCCAAACACTGAATCTAAGTCACTGTCTAGGTGAAGATCAGTTTATGAATTAGCCAATGAAATAAAATGTCAAAAACTTTGTGATAATTTTGCAAGAGTAATTAATTATATGTTATGATTAACTTATTGGCATTTGTAAAATACACAAGGGAATCCTGACGGCAACGCTGTAGTCCATCTGCAAACTGATAATGGCAAATCATAATCACTTAAGCCAAAAGAAGGCCACATGAAAACTTATGAAATTAGCTATAAACACCACAGTAGATGCCATAGTCATGGAGGAAATTTTAGTGTAAATTGGCATATTGCTTTTGACCAATATGTTCTCGTTCGGCATGAATGCATTAAAAGATTATCAATTTCGCATTTGAAAAATTCTGGCAGAATCCTGACATCATTAATGTGTATCATGGCTTGGTAATTGACATTGTCAAATTCTGACCAGAATATAAATTGACCAATTGCATAAGAAGTCTCTATGGTAGGTTTAAAAACAGTAATGAAAAGCTTTTCCTGATCCATTAATTAGGCTGAACCACTTTATTTTCTACGTTAGATGAAGCCAAACAATAACAGTAGTTTAATTCTTCAGCATTTCCTTTCACGGTAACTTTTTATTGTTAGTGTCTTATTTTCATGTGCTTTGCACTAACGCTTCTTATATGATTCTGAAATCGATACCTTCAATCGATCGAATGAACTTTAATTCAACTATCAAAATAGGTTTATACCTGTTAATGAGTTGAGATAATTATTTACCTGTTTAAATAATGAAAATTAATCTTAATACACGTAAATTTGATAATTGCATAATTTTTGTTTTTTTTTTTTTAATACAAAAGAGATTGTAACTTGAGATAAAAAAAATTTTAAGTGTTAAAATTTAAAATTATTTAATTTTTTTAAAAAAATGATTAAATAAATTAATCAAATTATACTCTATATTTTCAATTACAATATTCATTCACGTGGAATTCATAATTTAAAATTACATGAAAGGTAAAGATTTGATAATTTCATAATGACCTTTCTAAACTTTCTCGTTCATCCAAAAGATTTAGAACTGTCGTTTATGTCCAAGGCCCTAACAATCGGCCAGACTTTATGACCATAAAGGCAGAAAATGTGGTATGATGACACATTTTCAGCAGCCCATTTTGACTCTCTTTTATCCATTATGCTTATCTATACATTTGAGGAAAACCTGTAATGTTACGCACACGCATATAAACTCTTTTTTTCAAGGTCTGATCTAAAAAATCTTTGAGCCAAGATAGCTTGAATCAATCTCCACCCAAGGACAAATGTAATAAATGCCATTTGGCAACCGCTTCCTATAAATTCAAGCACCCTTGAGCTGCATTATGCAATGAAAAATTACACAAAAAATGGGTAACCTAAGCCTTTGCCTAATTTTCTTGCTTTGCTTATTATCTAGTGCGGCTGCCCAACAATGTGGGCGGCAAGCCGGTGGCCGGACTTGTGCCAACAACCTTTGTTGCAGCCAGTATGGTTACTGCGGTAATACAGATGATTATTGTTCACCTTCTAAAAGTTGTCAAAGTAACTGTTGGCCTAGTGGTGGTGGTGGTGGTGAAAGTGCCTCCAATGTTAGAGCTACTTACCATTTCTACAACCCCTCACAACATGGATGGGACCTAAATGCTGTAAGTGCTTATTGCTCAACATGGGATGCAAACAAGCCATTGGAATGGCGCCAGAAGTATGGATGGACCGCCTTCTGTGGACCAGTTGGACCTCGTGGCCAAGCATCTTGTGGAAGATGCTTAAGGGTAGGTTTCGATTTTTACTTTCATCAGCTGAATTACATTTTCTTGTTGAAATTAGGAACAACTATGTAGGGGAAAAGAATTTTTTGAAGAGCTTGATAAAGGCTTAGCAGTTTGGATACTAAAGCTATATTTTGGTCGTGATGAGCAGGTGACAAATAGAGCTACAAGAGCTCAAGCAACAGTGAGAATTGTAGATCAGTGCAGCAATGGAGGCCTAGATTTAGATGCAGCCGTGTTCCGGCAGATTGACACTGATGGAAGAGGCAACGCGCAAGGCCACCTTATGGTGGATTACCAGTTTGTCAACTGTTAAGATTGAAGTACTCCAAGCATATTCTATGATGTAATAATAAGAGAATTTGCTCTCATAAATCAAGCAACTTAAGTCAAGAAATAAATCAATAGATGTTCTTATTGGATGAGGGAAAAAAATAAAGAATTGTGGAATGCCAAATCAACATCTCCCAAATCAATCTTAGTGTGAATAATTGCATCAAAATGGTGATTTTGGCTATTATTAAATTTAGCTTTTTCCTTATAAAAAAATCGTAATTTGAATATCAAAGAAGGCTTAACACTAGATATTTTTATATGCAAATACAAGCATAAAAGCAAGCATTCTAAAATATCACTCATTCGATATTAATATCATTAATTTTATCTTAATAGATGCAGTAACATGGACATTTATTATTTGAAATTAATGATAAAAAAAATCGTAATCTGAATATTAGATGCAAAATATTAATTGTTAATTTATTGTTTGAAATGAATAGTAAAATAGTCAATTGATTCAATTACGATTTTTCAATTTCTAAACAGAAACAGCCAAATCCCCTGCATCCATTGGTAAGGTAAGAATTGTTGGCCAGTGCAAAAATGGAGTCCTAAACACCTATCTTACTTAGCCAAAAATAATAATAATAATAAAAGGCAATAATTCTATGCTTTTTTTTTCTTTCCACAAGCTTTAATTTTCTAATATAAGATGCATGTATCTTATCATAAGATTGAGTACATTGAACATAGTAAAAATTTTGACAATAATTAAATAATTGAATTTTTTAAATATATGTGTTAATCTTTTGAATTCGCTTATAAAGCTAAAAAAATTTCCATAAACCAAGCAAAACAATCATAACTAGTTCATCATATTCTTCCACATGAAGTGATAATTGGTTGAAAGTAATCCGATGAGAAGATAAAATAGTTGGGTAGATCAGCATTAATACCCATTACTTACTCACTATAAAGTCAAAGTCCCTATGAAAACCAAACATTCAAAGGAAATTAATGGGTAAACTAGGCTCGTTCATTTTTTACACCTTTAAAGCAAAATACTAAAGACAAGTTTTATAGATTTAAACTCTATTTAGATAGACAATAAAATTGATTATAATGAGATTAAAAATAATAACAAAAATTATTTTAAGTATGATTGAAAAAAATTTATTATTATTATTATAATTGAAAAAAATTATAATAAAAATTTTATATTTATTTAATCTCATTAAAATTAGTATTTAGATTCAATTAGTAGTACAATAAATTTAATCGAATTATATTAAAAATATAATAAAATCCGAATGAAAAATTAAATTTGAATCAAAATTAATAAAAATATATAACACTTATATTAATATAAATTAATACATTACGGGTTTTTTTTCCTCTTGGATCCTTAATCAAAACCGATCTTATATATTTTTGGATCTGGTTAACCAATGTCAATAAGCATCGATTAAGGTAGTTAAAATTTTTTTTTAAGATATTTTATAGTTATTCTATTGTTTTTATTCAAAATAAGATATGCATTAATTGCAAATTATTTTCTTTAAATATCAAGTTAATGTGTTGCAGGTTGAGACTCGATTTTTAAACTCAGACATGCATTAATCCGATATTTCATATCAGTTTAATTGTAATGATTCATATTCTTATGAGATATTATGCACTCTAAACTTTTTTTTCATGTTTGACGTGGGATTGGAGTATCCTGTCTATTCCTTTTTGGAGGGCTTGGCATGACATTTTCCCCCACTCAATTTCATGATACTCTCCGTATGACTTTAGGACCCAGACATACACTCATCTGACGTCTCAAATTAACATACTGTTATGGTTTACATTCTTATTAGGTATTGTCTTCTCTAGCTCCTCTTTGAGCTCACGATTTTATCCTACAAAAAATTTTTTATAAAAAAAAAGTGATGTGAATCTTTTTATATCCTGATAACCTCTACTTTCAGGTTCGATATGAGATTGAAATACCCTATTTACTTCCTCTTGGAGCGTTTGGCGTGATAAATGCATGCTCTTAATTCCAATTCTTGATGTAATTAATTTTCATTACCATCTACGTTACTTTAATTTAAAAAAAGAATGAAATGAAAAACACAAAAATCACCAAAAGAAGGAAAAATCTTACTTTGCAGGGTCATTAGAGCGAGTGGCGATAGTGCTCCTCTCCTTCAACTTCTCAGGTTCGTCCACCAATGCCTCTTTTGTTCTTGAAAGGTTAAGTTTCAAATCAACCGTCTCCGAGAACCCTCTTTTCCCATTATTTTTGGTGGTTTCACCGTCATTTCCATTGCCTCCGGGCAACCCTAGACGTACCTCCGTCTCTTCGAAATTAATCACGCTATACTTGTCACTCTCCGCACTCATAATGCTAGTCATTATGATATCTGCACACCAAAATTTACGAAAAAAAGTTGATTATAAAAAACTCGAATACAATCCGAACTTCCTTTGAATTTTTTTTTTCCTTCGTCTCTCTTGCTAGTGTGTTTGCCAGAGGAAGTGCATTTGTGAAGTGGGCGGAGGGGAATATGTGAAATGTTGGGAAGAAGGGCAAAATATGGCTACGTGCAAACATAATATATGGTCTTGGAATGTCATTTTATGGGATTTTCAACGGCGATGATGATGCCACGTGGAATATAGTGTCAGACCGTCCACACGTACTGGGGAAGGTGATGTCATGGATGATGTCATATTTATTAGG